TATATGTGCATATTAATCTCACCATCTAAAAAGAACTTTAATTTATTGGCATAGATGTGTTGTAATGGAATGCTTAGTTTGATAGCTATTGGTCCAATGAGGCCACGRAACCCGCCAGATATCAAGTACACGGGAATATTCTTCTGTTGCAATAATCCAACAAGTTCCCTAGATGATAAAAATTATCATTTAATACTCAATAAATGATTAACTTTAAAGTGGCTAATCAAAACTAATCGTAGAAATTGTATGAAAAAAAAAATACGCCTAAACCAAACAATTATTTATTTATTTTACATATTTAATTGATTCAATTTACTTAATTCCCGGAGTTAAATTAAACGGGCGGTCTTTGATGAAACTTTGAATTTGTTTCAGTGATGGTTTGATTATCTGAAGTCGAGCCGACAGTGCTTCTCTGAAGTCCATCTTGCCTGACATTGCACTGTTTGTTCTGAAACACAAAATTCATATTAATATTACTAGACATACAAATATAATATAATATATATATTTTTACAACAGATTATCCATATTTTACTGTGGTATCATATAATGATGTAACTTAAAAAATGTCAATGTTTATAATTCAAAAATGCGGACATAATGAGAAATTTACCYAAAACATAGTTAACATAACATAGATTGTTTAATCACCCAACAAACATATAGTATATACAGTAGAATCTCGATTATCCGAACTTATTGGGACCGCACCTAGTTCGGATACGCAAAAGTTCGAAAATTGGAAATTAAAAAAAAAAAAATTAGAATTACATATGTATTAACTATTTATTATTTTTATAATTAAATATTTATTATTGTTATTAATATTTTATTAGAATTACATACATTACATTATCAGAAACATTATCATACATTATAAGAAATAGGTACATTACATTTATTTTATTTACATATGTATGTATTTAGTTATGATAAATTCGATAACCGGCCGACCGGCCGGATATGAATTTTCATGTTCGGATAACAGAACGTTCGGATACGCTAATTATAGTTMGGATAATAGAGGGTTCGTATAACGGAGGTTCGGATAATCGAGGTTCTACTGTACCATATTAAATATTTAATCAAAATAAGGGTTTTTTTTATTATTATTATTACTAAACCATTACAATAATATGTACTTATATAAAAAAAATTACTCAAATAAAATAACAAGAACTAAAATATGCTATTTATTATTTATATTCATGATTATTGATTACGGATGAATGATGATTATTAATAAATTAATTGTTAAATACAATAATTTATTATTTTAACGCAGGATCACTTAATTGAGATTTTGTCATGATTAATATAAAATACTCGAATATAATTTTGMATTTACACGTGTACAAAATTATACAACGATGTAAAGTTTTATTATCCGTACCTATACACGAAAGCGGTTAATAAGAATGTATGTCATCTTTAAGTATACTCTTANTTTATTTACATATGTATGTATTTAGTTATGATAAATTCGATAACCGGCCGACCGGCCGGATATGAATTTTCATGTTCGGATAACAGAACGTTCGGATACGCTAATTATAGTTMGGATAATAGAGGGTTCGTATAACGGAGGTTCGGATAATCGAGGTTCTACTGTACCATATTAAATATTTAATCAAAATAAGGGTTTTTTTTATTATTATTATTACTAAACCATTACAATAATATGTACTTATATAAAAAAAATTACTCAAATAAAATAACAAGAACTAAAATATGCTATTTATTATTTATATTCATGATTATTGATTACGGATGAATGATGATTATTAATAAATTAATTGTTAAATACAATAATTTATTATTTTAACGCAGGATCACTTAATTGAGATTTTGTCATGATTAATATAAAATACTCGAATATAATTTTGMATTTACACGTGTACAAAATTATACAACGATGTAAAGTTTTATTATCCGTACCTATACACGAAAGCGGTTAATAAGAATGTATGTCATCTTTAAGTATACTCTTACCCAACTTGCCCCGACTTAAGTGATATTGTATCTTACATCTACGTTTTTTCAATGATGAATAAGTAAATACATTTAAAATTGAAAATAAACTGACGGTTTTTTAAACATTACGGCAGATATTAATGTGTCATACATACCTATTTCTTATATTTTTGCTTCACAGCCATTATAACATATAAAACCTATTACGTTGAAACATTAAAATTGTAAAGTTATGAAAACAGTGATAATTATAAACAATCTTAGACAATTTAATATAGGTGATCTAAGATATTTTAGAAATGTAATATTTGAACGAACCTGTATATAGTTAGGTACCTACCTATAAAATACTATGAACGAAAGTGCTAAGATCTGCCTTTTAAAAGTATTAATAATAATTCAAATTAATGATGAAACCCAAAACTTTTATGTGGCTTCTTGACCTTGGAACATTAAGGTRCCTCTAATTTTTAAATGGCTTATCACGTAGATAGGCTTATTATTAATTAATTTGATGTAATTTATTTTGTAGTATATATTATCATCGTATTATTTTTAAGGACATGTATGTAACAAATTAATTAATCATCTACCCGATAAACAACGATATAGATACCTAATTATCAAATTAAATTTGAATCAATTAATAGTAATCAAACCTAATTTTATAATAAAATATTAATATACGCAAATAAATGAAAAACTTAACATATTTTKAATACATACCTATATAACAATGATGATTAATAAGTGCAAGAGTTGAGATTGATTATATACCATTGGCAACCGTTAATATTTAATATTAAATATATTATACAACTCCACAATATTATTTCATTTAAAAAAGCGTAAAAATAATTATAATATGGTACCCAATATTCATTATTATGGTACCTATACTACCTGGCACATTAAATTTTATAATAAGGAGATTGAAACCGAATGTCTGTATTTAACGCGTCATGCTCGACATATTTCAACGAACCAATTATTCCAGACTTCTAGCTAAGCGATAASAACTCTAAAAACAGATGTAAATTTGTCGTAAAGTCTACTTAGACTTCCCGCATATTTGAATTAAATTTCTTAAAAAAATTAAATAATATGACATTTTTTAATTTCTACATTTTAAATTTYGCTTCTTAGGATTTAAGGGGATAAAATCAGTGATAAGAAATAAACGATTTTAATTAGACTTCACGAAAAATTCAATTTCTTTCTGAATTCTTATCACTTCACTAAATCACTCAGTACGTAAAATCGGAAATAAATAACAGGAAAATTCCTATATTGCGCATGAATAAAAATAA